CAGGGTTCAGAGATGTTTTACATAGGGTTTCTATGAGTCACAAATGACTCAACTTGGTTTCACCCTATCTAGGATACTTAGTTGTTCTCTTGACAATCCATAGTTTATTCAACACTCTTCTCCAGCACCACAACTCAAAGGCATTGATCCTTCTTCTGTCATCCTTAGTCATTGTCCAACTCTCTGATGCAAAGCAAGTATATTCAATGTTTAAACACCACTTATTGAAGATCATTCATCTCATTTCAAGCCTAATGAGGTGATGGATGGAGGCACATCTGCAAAGAGAGGTAGCAGAGAACTCCAGTCCCAAGAGATCCATTCTCCTAGTCTCCTTCTCATGTCATCACCATCACTACAAGAAGGCTAGATTTTCTTTGGTTAGCAATGGCCTCACCCCAGCCAAGGGAGATGGAATTTTTATGCTTCTCATAGAGAGCAGGTGTGTTGTTTAAAGAGTCATTCAAGCATTGTTCTTTTCTTCATTAAATATGAAGCCAAACTAAAAGAATTTTAATAGGGATTAAAGATAAAGAAGAACTTCTTTTTTTTCTTTTTCTTTTTTTATTGGCTTGCTTAAAAAGTTTGTATACATTGTGTTTCACACTATTTTTCATTCACTATGTGTTTCATACAAGTATTCTTATGCAAGTATGTTGTACAAAATTAATCACCAATGGACCTTGCCCATCATAAACCTGTCTTTTCACTCAGATCCTTCCCATTTCCTTCCCCCTCCTCCACCCACCAAACTGTGCAACCCTGTGGTTTCGCCCCTATTCATCTTCACCCCTCCACTTCTACCCCCTTCCCCACTTCTTGAAAGCAAACAGTCTGAAATTTCAGCCTGAAGGGACCTTGGGAGGTTTTTTCACTGGAAGGCTGAAGCCTTGTAGTAAACGGTCCAATCAGTTTTGGAGTATTGTGAAACCAGACAGACCTGAGTTCAAATCTTAACTGTGCTTCTTATTAGTTGTGGGGTCTTGGGTGAGTTGACCTAACCTCTGTGATGTTCAGTTTCCTTATCTGCACACTGGTATCAGAATGCCAGCCTCATGGGATTGGCATGACTGAAATAAAGAAAAGGAATAAAACCCACGAGAAGCTTCTGGTTCCTCAGTGTAGAGGTTCATGGGGGCTCTGCAAGGGCATTTCCCTTCTCATTCTGTTCCCATGATGCCCTTTGTTCCATCTGATTTGTATGGGCATGCTAGGAGCCAGGGAGATGGACAATCCACTTCATCATTTTTTATTGACAGCTCACTGTGTGTTGGGCTCTCTGGTGGTGTAGTCTCTAGCAAATTGTACCGTTAATCCAAAGGAAGTGCCTCTCTGGTTGTTCAAATTCACTCGCAACTTCTTGGGAGAAAGATGGGCAATCTCCTCTGTGTGATCATTACTTTTTCTCTCTCTCATTGTCATTGAATCAGAATCAACTACTAACTTGCCCTGCAGTGAGTTTTTCTGAGTCTATAACTCACACAGGAGAATGCCCATCTTTCTCCCATGGAGTAGCTGGCATATTTGAACTGCCTGCTCTGGGGTTGGCAGCACAACTTTTACCCACTAGGCCACCAGTTTGGAAAACCCACTGGAGGGTTAGCTATGAGTCAGCTCCAACTTGATGCCAGTGAGTTTTGAGTTTTCTACTATTGTTGTTGTTGTTATGTGCCGTCGAGTCGCTTGCGACTCATAGCGACCCTATGTACAACAGCCCTAAACTCTGCTCTGTCCTGTGCCAATCGCACTGTCTCTGACACTCCCATCCCGATTATCCCAGTCACTGAATCAATCCACCTCATAGAGGGCCTTCCCCTCCTGCGCTGTCCCTCCACCCTCCCAAGCATGATGTCCTTCTTCAAGGACCGGTCTCTCCTCACAACATGTCCAAAGTATGTTAGACAGAGCCTCAGAATCCTTGCCTCCAAGGAGCCACCCGGTTTAACCCTTTCCAGGACAAATCTGTTTGTTTTCCTAGCAGTCCATGGTATTCTCAATACTCTTCTCCAGCACCACAGCTCAAAGGCATCAATTCTCCTTCTGTCCTCTTTGGTCATTGTCCAACTCTCTGATGTATAACAAGTGATTGCGAAGACCATGGCCTGTATCAGATGCACCTTAGTCTCCAGAGAGACACCATTGCTCTTTAGTACTTTGGAGAGGTCCCTAACAGCAGACTTTCCCATGGCAATGCACCTTTTAATTTCCTGGCTGCTGGTGCTAAGACTGTTGACTGTTTCTATTTGTTAGAAATTCTGATGGCAATGTGACTAAGTGCTTAGCTTCTAGCCAAAAAGTTGACAGTTCGACTCCAGACAAAGATGAGGCAATCTGCTTTCAAAAAGATTAAAGCTTTGGAAACCATATGGGACAATTCTGCTTTGCCCCATGGAGCTGCTCCAAGTTGAAATCAACCTGTCAGCACCTCACAAGAATAACCACAGTTTAAAACAATAAGATCTCACCCATCTGCTTGTGGATTTTTCTAAGGAAGAAAATGAACCAATATACAAATGAGCAAGTCTTTCATTACAAAGGATGATTTGATGTAACAAAGGCATTTACAAACCTCGGGGGAATGGGAAGAAGGCTTCTGTATAGGCTGGGGGCAGGAGGGCCTCTCTGGGAAGGGAACCAGGCACTCAGGGAAGTGAGGAAGCAATCCAAGCAGAGGGAATAACATACACCTCGGCCCCTCCACTGCTGCCCTTTTGGTTAGCAGCCAGGCACTTTAACCTCTATGCCACCAGAGTCTCTAACATAGAGTAGAAAACTCAAACTCATCAAGTTGGAATCAACACATAGCTAGGAGACAATGAAAGGTGGCCTCTGCAGCCATGAAGAGTAGTGGGAGACAATGATAAGGTGGAGACTCGGATTCGGATTTTGTCTTAAGCGCAATTAGAAGCTATTAAGCAACCAAGAGACATGACCTAACTTATATTTTCTTAAAAAACCCCTTGGTCTATGCTCTCAAGTTTAAGGTGTTTCTCTGTTCAGGCTCCAGCACAGCCAAGTGTAGGCCTCCTGTCTCGGTGAAGCCCCTCACTCCTCTCATGCAGGTCCAGGCAGAGTGGGCAGAAGAGTCCAGGCTGCCACCTCTCAGGACAGGCTGGGCTCTTGGAGGTGTTCACTTGAGTGGTGTGTGCCAGGGCCCAGCCAGGCTCTGAGATGCAGTCCCACCCTTTGAAGCAGACACTCCAAATCCTGTCTTCTAGTGAGAATAGTGAGGTAGCAGAAAGCGGGAGTGCCCTTGGTGGGACAAGAGGTGGGTGTATGTCTAAGTTGTGTGCCAGTGGGGAACAATTCTCTTATGTTGTTCTCATTGTCAGTGAAATTCTTGATCTAATTTTCCAGCAAAAGGATAGAGATACTGCCAGATACCTTTGTCTCTTCTGCTGGTGGTGTAGTTCCACAGAGTTACAATGAGAACCAAGGTGGCACCTCTGGTGGTTCCAATCCACCAGCTGCCCTGAGGGAGAAGATTGCACCGTCTCTTCTTGTGTGATTTACCGCCTCTGAAAATCACTGGAGGGTCAGCTATGAGTCAGTTCTGACTCAATGACAGTGTGTGTGTGTGTTCAGACCAGAAAGCCAAGTTTTAGGATTTATCAAGGGTTATGCTGGATCACACAGACAGCTCCCCAGTCCTCGATAACCCTTGAGGTGCCCAAGGGAGAGACAAGGCTGCTCTGTGCCTCCTCCAAGAACCAAGCAGGTGGGAGCCGGTGACTTCCAGAGTCAGCTTCTCGCTATGAGAAGTATTGAGCCGGGGGAAGGGACCCAGAGAGATCCCTTGCCTCCCCCTTGTCCTCTTAGTCAGTCTTGGTCTGAAGAGAGAGTCCAGGGATGTAGTATGTAGAGATTCAATTGCACTGTTTCAAGGAGTTGAATTTGGGTCTCTAGACTCCCCTAATCCTCTGGGACTGAGGTGTTAATAAAACAGTTCTGAACTTGACCTCGCAGTCATAGCCATTGACGTCAGTAAAGCTGAAATAGTGTAATGTGACTCTGCTCTGTGAGTGACATTAAGGGACTTGGGGAGGAAAAGAAGGGGTGTCGGAAGCTGACCAGTGGACGGAACTCAAGGCCACGCCAGCTTGAGCTCAGGACTGTCGCCTGGTGTTAGGATCCCAGGAGAACTCAGGGTGCTTCTGTGGGTGGGATGTGCTATTTGAGTGAGTGGCCCAAATCCTTTCTGAAAGCATTTATCCGGCACTACAGCCACTACCAGGTAAGATAGTGAGCGGGTGTCTTCTGGATGGGAGAGCTGACACTAGTGTTGCCATTCCTGGACGTGGTGTGACAGGCAATGGGGAGTAGCAGCACTGCCATGAGGGCACATTGCTGTCCTGTGGGGGTTCACATGTGTGCATAAGTGTGTGTATCTCTGGGGGTCTGTACATATCACCCTACTGGAGACAAAGCTCATCCTGGCCACATCTGAAGGTGCAGGGGATCTCCTTTGGCAATGGGGGGGGGTTGTTCTGCATGTCTGATTTCTGAGGTCCCAGGGGCAACCTGGCACCTGCCTGTCCCCTTCTTACATTCCCACTTCCAAAGACATGCTAGGGAGGCCCCTGTGGATGATTTCTCTTTCCCTGGGGTCTGCTTGGAGGGGGATGGGGGACGTGCTGGGCCTGGAGCTGTAACTTTGCCATTGGGTTTTCCAGGTGGATTTTCTGATTGAAAATGATGCCGAGAAGGACTATCTCTATGATGTGCTACGGATGTACCACCAGTAAGTGTATTGAGTCTGCTTCCATGGACCATTCTGCCTATCCCTGCCTTTGGGCATCCTTGGGATGGGTCTTCTGGGAGACAGGAAGACCTCCTCCCATCACTGGGAGCTCAGGGAGGGAAGTTCTCAATGCCCTGGGAGACAAATGACACACTGTTCATTCATTTCAGCAAATACTTTGAGGTTGGCTCTGTGCTGGGGACTGGGGATACACTATAATAAACAAGACAGACAGTCCCTGCTCCAGGTGGCTCACAGTCTGATGAGCAACCAGATAGCTCAGTGCTGAGACAGAACAAGAAATGCCCTGTGTCAGGATCTCTCATCACCACGTGCTTTATTATCCATTCAACATCCATTATGAGCCCCTGCCCCTTGCTGGACACCACTCAGAATTCAGAAATGAGTAAGACCAAATGTCTTTCCTCAAGTGGCTTGTGTCCTCGTGCAGTTTGTGAACAGGACCCCCCCCCTTACACACACACACAGATCTAATATGCAGTGAAATAAGCAAGTAGATAGAAAAGAACACTACAGCATGTGAAGATAGAATTCTTCTCCTCGAACTGTGAAGGAAATGGCCAGGAAGACTTGAGCTGGGCTTTGAAGGATAAAAAGCAATTTAAAAAATTATTAAACTCTGCTGTAGACCCTCCCCCTGAACAATAAAATCTAGTCCATTTATGAGAAGTACACAGTAAGTTCTTACCTTAGATCCTCTTACTTTCTCTCCTGCTGTTTGTTAATGGCCTTTGAGTCTGGTCTGGCTTGTGGTGACTCGATGTAGAATAGAACAAAATGTCACCTTGTTCTTGATATGCTCAAGCCCATTGCTGAGGATGTTGTGCATTTTAAGTGCCTTTCAAACTACACCGCCCATCATTCAGCTCTGTATTAACCGACAGTTATGTGATCCATTGTTTTCATTGACTGCTTTCGTGATATAGATTGCCAAGCCTTTATTCCCACTCCGGAGTGGTCAGCTATGCTGTGATGGCTGGAGTGCTGCTATTTTGTTGGCAGCTATGCCCCCAGGTGTCACCAGGGTACAGGTTGGAGTAGAGCTACCAGACTAAGACCAGGAGGAAGCATTTTGGTCCCAGTCCTTCCTTAATCTCAGTGGCTTTTCCCTTCACTCCTGTGAAGAAGCTTTTGCTATGAGGAAAGAACAATCCAGGAGGAGGGGTCAGTATCAGCAAACATATGGAGCCTTAAAATCACAAGCTGTGATGGGGATGCAAGAATATTCCAGGGAATAGAACAAGGAGACCATAAACAGCCACAAACTGGAGAAAGCCTATGGGGACAGGTCATAGAGGGTCCTGAGCCTGCCAAGGAGAATAGGCTTTGTCCTTGGCAATAGGGAGCCATTGAAGAATTTTTGATGAGGAGAACGCCTTACATGTAGACAAGATTAGCTGACAGTGAGGAAGTCACCAGGAAGCTGGGGACATGCAGGCCAGTGAGGCTGAGGGTCTGAAGAGCTTGAAGGAGAAGACATGTGAGAGAAATTGTGAAATTTATGAATCATAGCAACACATCAGATGGTGAGGGTGGGAAGACATCACACAGGGATTTGCATCTGTGAAGATTCTGAGCTTCAGAATTAGGCAGAGCTTAGCGTGAATCTTGACTTGGATTGGGTTGTTTAACAGGCCCTACCTCACTTCCTCATGAGGCTTATGTGAGAGAACAAAGCTTTTCTGGGCACCAGGCTGTCTGAGTGAAGGGCTAGGTAAGAATGTGTCTCCTTTTCAGAAGAGTTCTTCTCAAAAGGCGACTGAGGACTCCGAGGTCCGGTGCATGAGACCCAGGCTGGGGCTGCTCCTTCTGGGAATCCTTGGTGCCCAAGGGTCATGCCAGAGGTGAGGCTCCAGGTGTCATGGTGTCTCCAACAGGACCATGGACGTGGCTGTGCTGGTGGGAGATCTGAAGCTAGTCATCAATGAGCCCAGCCGCCTGCCGCTGTTTGATGCCATCCGGCCCCTGATTCCACTGAAGCACCAAGTGGAGTACGACCAGCTGACCCCCCGGCGCTCCAGGTGTGGAGGGGGCAGGGGTGAGAGAGGTCACCCTGGGGTTAGAGGGTCCTTCACAAGTGGGTGGGGCAGGGCTGGCCGACGGTCTGCACCTGTCCATTACCACCGTCTCCATCCTGCAGAAAGCTGAAGGAGGTGCGTCTGGACCGGCTGCACCCCGAAGGCCTGGGTCTCAGTGTGCGTGGTGGCCTTGAGTTTGGCTGTGGTCTCTTCATCTCTCACCTCATCAAAGGTGGTCAGGCAGACAACATCGGACTCCAGGTGAGCAAGTGGACCCAGGGGTGAGGGCCGGACTTTGTAAAAAAGCTGCTGTCACACTTCCCCATTACAGGCTTCTGGAAGCTGGGACACATCCTAACACTTGGATCTTATGTTATTGTTATGTGCTGTCAGGACCGACTCTGAGCTAACCCTTCAGAGGATTTTCAGAGGTAGTAAAGCATACAGGAAGAGATTGCCCATCTTAATAGCAGCTGGTGAATCTGAACCACTTGCCTTTGGGTTGGCAGCACAACTCCTTACCCACTAGACCACTGGAAGGGAATAGGGAAACAATGTACAGGGTAGTATTAAAGAGCATTGGCATGGAGCTAGATTGCCTCCAGTTTAAATCCCAACTTTATTGTTCTTGCAAAATATGACTGGTGAAATTATATATCTTCTGTGCATTGTTTTCCTCACCTGCAAAATTGCTGTTAGTTTCTGTTGAGTCATTTCCGACTTCCGGCCCTTCTTATGTACAGCAGAACAACATGCCGCCTGGTCCTGCACCAGCTACCTGATGTCCTGTAGTACCTTCTAGCCTAGGGGGCGCACTTTCCAGCACTGTATTCTTCAGTATCTGTTAGGAGCCATAAAGTTTTCATTGGCTAATTTTCTAAAGTGGATCACTGGACTTTTCTTTCTAATCTGTCTTCATCTGGAAGCTCAGCTAAAATCTATCCACTCTGGGTGACCCTGCTGGTATTTGAAATACTGGTTTGAAATAGCTTCTGGTGATATAGCAACACATAACCACCACAGAGAGATGAGTGGAGGCATGTATAAAATCTCCCTCACTCTTCTTTCTCTCTCTTTTATTGCCCCTGAGATGGAAGTCATTTATAGCTCACCCTCTGTTGGATTTCAGAGGCTGCAAACTACATGGGAAGAGATTACCTGTCTTTCTCCTATGGAGCCACTGTAGACTTGAACTGCCAGAGACCAGAGAGGTGCAGTCTTTGGGTTAGAAGCACAAGTCCCTGTGGGCCAGTCATGAGAGTGCCCCGTTTAAATAATAGGATGATAACACCTCATTGAGTTGTTACAAGTAACAAGTCAATTAATATTATAACATGCTTTTAACACAAGTGTTGTGTTTTTGTAAGTAAACAGGCTGTTCGTTCGACGGCATTAAACAACAATTTAATTATATTATTATGTGCCAGGTAGCTTGCCTACAACCAGTTCTCACTGTCCACAAGGGTGTAGCGTCTTCATCTGATAGAGTTGTTAGGAAAAGTGCAAAAATTTGGCTAGAGTCACGCAACCAGAAAGTGGCAGGGCAGTATTTGAACCTGGGTCTCCTGACTGCCAAGCCCAGAGCTCTTCGTCGGCACCCTCAGGTCCCCATGCCTGGCTGTCAGCAGAGATGGGCAGCCCTCCAGGTCCTACTCCTCCTTGAGCCCAGAGCTGTGTTTTTGTATGTCCAGATAAAAGAGGCTCTCTCAGCCCCGCCCTGGGTGTCCAGGGTGTCTGTTATCAGCATCCCAATCTCCGCTGCTGAGCCAGGGGCTTCAGGGGGCTCTCACCCAGCAGGCAGTGGAAACAGGGAGCTGACAGACACCGCTTTGTTCTAAATCCCTGTCTCACGGCTCACCGGTGGCGTCTGAAATTTCAGCCCCTTCATTATTCCTCTCCACTGTGGCACATTTTCCAGCCCAGAAATGGAGCCAGAGAAAATGCATAATGAGCTCTTCTCTTGGCATCAGCTGGGGCCCTCTTGTTTCCAGGGCAAGCTCTCCTCCCAAGACAAGCATTTCTCAGCAGTGTGTGTTGTTGAGGAGGACATCTGGACATTTTACTGAAACTTCGAGTTTCACCTTCCTGACTGTTTCTCAGGCTTGTGAATTATCAACCCTTTCACGGGCTGACAGGCTCATCTCCGCTTTCAGCCGCTGTCCCTCTGATGGTCTATCATCATAGTCCCACCACAAAGGGCTGTTTTGCACGGCCCTGTGTGGGAGGGGCTGGGAGGAAAGTTGATCTGCAACCTGAGCTGGGCACTGTGTGAGAATCATTCCAACCAACGGGGGTCCTGGGTAAATTCCCTTTAGACAAGGGCGCTCCACTCAGAGGAGCTTGAAAGAAGGGAAAACCTGTATTCATGGACCTGTTTGGAGTTCACATTTCTGGGATGGTCTCTTACTGAGTGCAGCTACGAGAAGATTCTAGAAGGTAGGAGAAGGCTAGCTTCAGATACAGCCTGGCTGAGCTGAAGGCCCTGTGCTGATCTGACCCTATGAGACTGGGACTCAATCCCTTTACTAGAAACATTTTAGAAGCTTTTTTGATTGAATAATGTCTTAACCTATTCCCTCTACCCTGCATGTGCATTTTTTAGGACTAGAGAATTATTTTCCATACCTTGGTGGTCCCAGCTGTTAAATGGATAGAGTTCAATGTTAAAATCTTTCCCTTCCTATGAGATTCAAGGGCTCCAATAGCTGGCAAGAGTCCAGAAAGATCAGGATAAAGGGAATCATAGCCAGGTTTGGCCATGGGCCCTTCTGTTCTACTCCCAGACACCCAAGAAATAATGTTTAGGAGACTGGGAGACCTGACTTCAAATCTCAGTTATGCTGTTTACTAGTGGAGTGACCTTAAGCAAGTCACTTTACCACTCCGTGCCTCAGCTTCCTCATCTGATTAGTAAAGACTCCAATTTCTACCCTGCAGAGTTATTGTGAAAAGCTGGTACAAGAAGCCAGCGGTGACTAGAGTTTGTCAAGCTGTTCTCCTTACATTAGACGTCCCCAGAAACTAGCAGGGTTTCTAGGGAGCTTCTTCCTAATATGCCTTTTGAGCCCCCTCATTACTCCTGTCTTGCCCCTGAGAATATTGGAGTCTTTGTCCAGGTAGGGAAGGGAAGTAATTCTGTGACAATAATGTGGTGACTTTGTGAGGGTCTTAGAGGGATGAGAACTGCCTAGAGAACTCCTCAGAGGTGGTGCCTACCCAACACCCCACTCAGATCCCACAGAGCACCTGCTGCCTCCCTTGTCACCAAGTATCTGAAGGGTCAGCAGGTATGACCTGCAATGATCCTAGACTAGAGAGAGCCAGGCTGGGGCAGATTTTGCTGTATGACCTTGGGCAAGGGCTCACCTTTTTGAACCTCAGTTTCAGCTGATCTCTGAAAGTCCTTCCAGCCTGGCTATAATGGGTGAAGTGAGAGACAATGTCCAGCAGGGGGCGATCTCACAAAGGCTCTGTGTCCAGACCCAGCCCTGTGGGCCTCTGAACCCCCTTTCCTAATCTGCTGTGGCCTAAATCCTAGAAGGAATTGAGCAGAGTACTCAGGCCCAACTACTGGTAATAATAAGTGACTTCTGCACTTAGACTGGACTCATAGTGACCTTATACGACAGAGTAGAACTGCCCCATAGTTTTCAAGACTGTAAATCTCAATGGAAGCCGACTGACACATCCTTCTTCTGCAGAGTAAATTGTAGGTTTGAACCACCACTCTTTCAATTAACTGCTAAGAGCTTAACTACTGCAACACCAAGACGTCTAACAATAACACTACAAAAAACAAAGACCAAACCTACCACCATTGAGTCAATTCCAGCCCGTGAAATCCCTCTTTAGGATTTCTGAGGTAGCTGGTGGATTTGAACTACTGACCTGTCAGTTAGCAGTCCAATACATTATGCTCCATATTACCAGGATAGCTATAAGCCAACCATTTGTGGAGCACTTACTATGTTACAGGCACCCGCTGACTTTATATGTATAAGCTCTTTTCATTTTCATTGCTTTCAATAAAGCAACCACTTTATTCCCCCATTGAACACATGCAGAAAACTGAGGCTCAGAAAGTTCGAGAGACTTAACTAAGATCACACAGCTAATAAGGGTAAAGGTGGAGATTCAAACCTAGGATGTCTGAGGCTGAAATCTTGTCCTCATTCTCTGTTTTTGGCTTGTTCCCAAAGCAGATTTACAGAGTTCAGGACAGTGTTTCAATAGAATGGGGGAGGGGGGAATTAAAAATTTAAAAATTTGTTCTCATGGCAGTGGTCGTAGATGCTCCGGACCCTAAATCAGTGACAGTGTTGTAATGATTGGCAGTGAGCAGGGAGTGTGTTTCGTGGAGATGAAGTGGGGCAAATGCCAGGGAAGAGATGCTTGAGGCTGGATGGAGTGCCACCCTTGCATCGATGCTAGAACCTGGTGGTGCTCCAGTGGAGCACAAGGGGCATCAGGGTGAGTGAAGGACAGAGTCCTGAGTTCTACTCCCACCACTGCCAACCACTTGCAGTGCCTCCACTCCTCATCCTGTTTTCATCATCTGTAAAATGGGACAGAAAGACTACTTGGAAGTACCACTTGCCCTGGGCCTCCTCAGATTGCTTGGGGTGAACTGGATGTGACCAGGCACTGGAGCACGTTTCAGAGTTCCTTCCGGGGTTGGGATGACCATCATTGAGTTGTTGGATGAGTCTGCCCAGCTGCCTGACACTCCTTAACCTGGAGCTCATGTCCCCTGTCTGTGGCCAAGGTAGGGGACGAGATTGTCCGAATCAATGGGTACTCCATCTCCTCCTGCACGCACGAGGAGGTCATCAACCTCATCCGCACCAAGAAGACCGTGTCCATCAAAGTGAGACGTGAGTGGGGAGACCAGGGGCGGGGTCAATGAAGGGAGGGCAGCAGGGGTACCCCGCTCCTGGAGAAGGAGGACAGAGAACCATCCTAATCTCTGGGCCTTTCTCCCACAGACATTGGCCTGATCCCAGTGAAGAGGTGAGCCGGACCCAGCCCTTTCAGGTGGGCCCTTCTCATGGGCTCAGCATCCTGAAGTCGGCCCTGATGACCTGCCCTCTGCCCCTTAGTCCAGCACTACTCCAGGGTCAATGACTCTTGGGGGATCTAGATTTGGGCCTGGTCCCTCAAACATCTCTCCCTAACACCTCTTTTCTGCTTTTCCATTCTATCAGCTCTCCTGATGAGCCTCTCAAATGGCAGTATGTGGATCAGTTTGTGTCAGAATCTGGGGTAAGAACCTAGCCCACCTGAGAAGGAAGGGTGGGCATGCTGTAGGGATGCTCTGGAGATATGGCTTCAGGGACCTCAAAACACCTTCCCCCAGCCACAGCTAATTGTCAAAGCCCACACCCAGAATGCTGCTGTGGAAAGGTGGGTCCTCAGCCAGGCCGGCAGGACAGAGCAGTGGTCAGACCTGAGCGGGCACAGCAGAACTTGTCCTGAAAGTGTCTCAGGCCCAAAAGACCACTTACATTCATGTGGACACTCGGTGACTCTCCTTCTGTTCCTCCTCCAGGGCGGGCAGGGGACCTTGGGCTTCTCTGGGAGTCGGGAGAATAAGGAGAAGAAGGTCTTCATCAGCTTGGTGGGCTCCCGGGGCCTAGGCTGCAGGTGAGTGGCCAGTACTCTCTGGGGCTCACCTATGGGATGAACCCCTAACACTTCTCCCTTCTCACTAGTGCCCCTGAAAAGACTCTTGCCCATGGGAGATGATATGTTTTAGTGTCTTATTTCTCCTCAGAGCTTCATAGCAGGAAAAATGGGACAACTCCAATGGTCCCCTTTTAAAGATGCAGAAACTGAGGCTTAGGGGCAGGACTATATCTCTTTGGTGGGTCCTAAAGTCATTGTGCAAGAGTTCAGTTCAGTTAGCGATCTCTGTCAGAGTTTCTACTTTGTTTTATTAAGGTAGAAGCTGGGGGATTCCAAGCAGGCATTGAGCCACAGTCACCCTGATCTAGGTCCCAGCCCTACTCCCCCACTTCTGAGCTCTAGAACCTTGGACTGGTTACTTAGCCTGATGTACCTCAGTTTTCTTGTCTGTAAATTGAGGATGATAAAACTTACATCTCAGAGTTGTGAGAGGCGATGAGATGACAAAGGCAATGGACCAAGCTTAATATCTGGCAAGTAGTAAGCAGTTGGTAAATATAGGCTAGTGTTAATATTTATGTGACATAATCTTACAGTGTCCATTCATTTTTATTATCAGTTATTTTTTGTGCCAAACAGAAGTGATAAAGTCTCTTCTTTCTGAGATATTGCAGCCTAGTAAAGAAGCCAGACATTAATATTTAGAATGTAGGTTGACAGAGGCTCTTATGAAGCGACATTCTGGGTCATGGATGGCAAATTGGGCATGCTGACAGGAGGGGCCAGTCCTTAGAAAAGGACATCATGCTGGCAAGGGTGGAGGGGCAAAGAGAGGAAGAGCTCTCAACAAGATGGATTTACACAGTGACAGTGACAATGAACTTGAGCATATCAGTGATTGTGAGGATGGAGCAAGGATAGAACAAGGTTCAGATCTAATGCTCACAAGGTCACGATGACTTGTAGGCAACTCGTGGTACCCACCACCACTAACAACAATCCTGTGCCATCTCTAATCTGCCAGCAGTTGTGGTGTCTGCCTTGGGTACTGTTTTGAAAAGGATATAAGGCTGTAGCCTGGCATGGTAAGAGTGCCGTGGTGGATTAGTGATGTCTGCCGCAGATCCGGGAGGGGAGAATACAGCATGTGTGTATGCTTCCAGGAGGTGTTTTAGGAGCACAGAGAAGAAACAGCTAGCTTAACCTTGTGGTGAAGAAGGGATTTAGTGAAAGGTTTATAGACAAAGTAGGACTCTACAGAAATGACTAGGAAACTAATAGAACAAAAAGAGATGAAACAGCATAGGTAGGATGCTGGGTGAGAGGCAAGTTGAGGGGAATTGTAAATTACTGTTGTTGCTCAGAAATGCAGTGGAGATGATTCTGGAGAGGCAGGCACTATCAGATTGTGGATCCTAATCTCAAGGATTGGCCAGTATCCTGGGGGATTGTATGCTGGATGCTGTGTGAGTCCTCTAGAGTCCAGGCAGAAGGGTAGAACATTGAGACTGAGCAAGTACTGCAGTGGATGAGAAGCAAGGGACAGAGCCTCATGCACATTTTCTGTCCTTCCTTCAGCATTTCCAGCGGCCCCGTCCAGAAACCGGGTATCTTCATCAGCCATGTGAAGCCTGGCTCCCTGTCTGCTGAGGTTGGGTTGGAGGTGCGTGACCTTGGACCATCCCCAGAGGAGCTCCATCAGAGTGAAGGGATTAGACTGTAATCACACAGAGATGCAGGCCCACACCTCCCTCCACAGTCATCTCTCAGCTGTCCCAGCTAATGACTCCTCCCTCCACCCCAAGAGAAGGCTTCATAGAGGCAGGACACAGATGACCTTTGCCAATCCCAGGAAGCTTTGCTCCTGAGCTTGGCATGTTGTAACAGTAAAGAATTGACATTCAATGATGCTTATTCAGACCAGACATTCTTCTAGTTCCCTTAAGCTTTATATGCACTCTAATAATTGGGTATGAATATTACCCTCATTTTACACATAAGGAAAAAAGAGACCCATAGATACGACATGATTTTTCCAAGATCATGAACCTAGTATGTGAGGACTGGAGTACAACCATAAATGGTCTGATGCCAGACCCAGAAATCTTAATTTCTTTTCTAGGAAATTTACTTTGTATTTCTGTGTTTTGCTTTCTTTACCTATATAATGGAGATAATAATTCCTTTCTTCTAGGATTGGTGTGTGGATTAAATGAATTAATATGTATGCTTGGAAATGTGCCTGCACAGAGGAAATAATCAATTACTATATAGAATGTTAGCTAATACAATTATTATTTTACCTACTCCTCACTTATTAACATGGCTAGATTCCAAAGACAAGGCTGTTATGTGAAAATCTGTGTCATGAGAAAATAGAGAATAATTAAATCATTACCTAGATGCCAGCTTACTTCATTGCATAAATCTTAAACCACTGAGAACCCAGCCCAACCAAGCTGACACATAACCTTAGCCATTGAAGCCAGTGTTACTCTCACTTTGTACCCCTGTGTTTGTTACTATCAGACTTATGCCATTAATGCAGAAGATCATTGGATAGTACATTTTTTCACTATTATTGAGACTGTGAGATGTCAGATAACAAGATAGTTAATAAGGGAGAAGGTGTATTCACCAGTGCCTCTGCTGTATGAGAAAGCCAAAAGCTTCTAAGAATTGGAAGGAAAATTCATCAACAACCTTTGGTGTGTACATGACACAACTTCGCCAAAGGTAAAGAAGGCTTGAAGTACTTAAGATTACAGGGCACAGTTTCAACATTAAAACCCCCCCCAAGAAAATCCTCACTACTGGACCAATAGACAACAGCATGAGAGAATCTAATCTAATCTAACAAGTATCTAATTTTACTTCAATCTGCAGTCAATACCCATGAAAGTAGCAGCCAGCAAACTAAAAGACATTGCACTGGGTAAATCTACTGTCAGGGAAAAAATCAAAGAGGTCAACTTAAAGACTAAAGTGTGCGTGGTCCATGCTATGGTATTTTCCATTGCTTCATATGGCATGTTGTCAGGAGGGGACAGTACATGTAAGTAAGAGGACTTCATGCTTGGAAAGGTGGACAGTCAGCAAAGGAGTAGAGGACCCTCAGTGAATCGGATTGATCCAGTGACTAACTGCAGCAGTGGGTTTGAGTGAATGGAGAATGTGAGGATGGTACAGAATCAGGCAGGTTTCGAACTGTGTGCATAAGGTCACTATGAATTGAAACTGACTTGACACTTAACAACAGAAGTTCCTGCATCTAGAAACCCATATTTAAAGCAAATGCTCCAAATTCAACCAGAGAAATGAAGCTTTAATAGTTGAATATTAGTTATTGATGAAAAAGGTATGGAATTGAAAGTGCCACTCTGTGCTGGGGGTCTCCCTTACCAGAATTTTCCAACTGCTCTGTTCACCAAGGGGAGCTGAAGTGCAGCCACTTGAAGATCCAGCTTATGACCCTGGTCCTCTGGGTGGTGGTGTGGGGCGGGGGTTTCCTGCAGTTGTTAGTGTTTGGGTGCAAATATGCTGTTTGCTGACCCTTCTCGTTTCTCCACCAGACAGGGGACCAGATTGTTGAAGTCAATGGCATCGACTTCTCCAACTTGGACCACAAGGAGGTGAGATGTGAAGACTTCCCTTGCTCCTTAGCTCCATAGTCCACTTCTGACCCTGCAGCACCTCATGCCTGAGACCTTCTGTACATCACCCCCATACCTGAGACTTTCTGTGTCCCTGCATCACCCCCATACCTGAGGTCTTCTGTGCATCTCCCCCATACCTGAGATCTGTGCATCACCCCCCATACCTGAGATCTTCTGTGCATCACTCCCACAGCTGAGGCCTTCTGTGCATCACCCCTATACCTGAGATCTTCTGTGCATCACCCCCATACCTGAGATCTTCTGTGATCACCCCCATACCTGAGACTTTCTGTGTCCTTGCATCACCCCCATACCTGAGATCTGTGCATCACCCCCCATACCTGAGGCCTTCTGTGCATCAACCCCATACCTGAGATCTTCTGTGATCACCCCCATACCTGAGGCCTTCTGTGCATCACCCCCATACCTGAGACCTTCTGTGTCCTCTGCACGGACTGCTTTGGTTTGTCAAACCTCAGCTGCCTTGGTCCCCACAGGCCGTGAATGTACTGAAGAGTAGCCGCAGCCTGACCATCTCCATCGTAACTGGAGCAGTAAGTCCAGAATGAGCGGGTGGGGACCACTTGACCCTTGTCCTCCAGCCCCAGCTCCTGAGACGAGATCTCTGTCCCACACTCCTGGGAGGAGCCAAGGGGGCTCTTTCCCTGAAGCTCTGATAGAACAGGGACATGTGGGGCCAGAGCCAGCAGGGACCTTGTGTCTGACACCAAGTGTATGGAGCTGAAGGACAGTCCACTCTGTGGGCCCCAAGGCAGTGATGGTGGGCCCTCAGTTTCCCCAAGGAGCTGAACCAATAGCCTTCCCCACCCCCACCCCCTTACCAGGGCCGGGAGCTGTTCATGACCGACCGGGAGCGGCTGGCAGAGGTGCGGCAGCGTGAACTACAGCGACAGGAGCTTCTGATGCAGAAAAAGCTGGCAATGGAGTCCAACAAGATCCTCCAGGAGCAGCAGGAGATGGAGCGACAGTGAGTGTACCTGCCCAGGAGCCCCCATCCCACATTCCCTGAACCCCAACACATCACACTGCTGCCCTGCCTTGCCTTCTACTTCCTGAGTCCTTGACCTGCTTCATTCTCTCTCCTCAAAGCCTGTCCTGAAACTAAATGGGCTCAGTGTTAGCACATCCATTCCTCTGTCTCCAGACCACCTGGGTCCTCTCCTACGGGCCAAGAAAACCCTCTGATTTTATAAAGAAGACAGACAATTGTTTGTTGTTGAGCTGATTCTGTCTCATGCTAACCATGTGTATCAGAGTAGAACTATGATCTGTGAGATTTCCAGTGACTTTGAAAGTGGATCACCAGGTCTTTCTTCCAAGGCACCTTTGCCTGTACACAAATTTCCATCCTTTCTATTAGTAGCCCAGTGCCATTTGCATTACCCAAGGAGTCCAGCAATGAGTAAAAGAAGTCTCCCTTCAGCAGTAGCTAACATTTATTATCTGTCACATGACTAGCACTGACTAGGGATAAGCTTATGTGTTACATCATTTCATTCCCACAGTAGCCCTGGAAGGTAGATGGAAGTCACCCCATTTGTAAGAAAGAAGACTAAGACTGAGAAAAGTTAAGCCACTCTGTACAAAGTCACACACGACTGAGCCGGGATTCACACTCCAGCAATCTGCTGACAAGCTTGACACTCTCCCCATGGCAAGAGCCCAAGGCGATAAGACCAACCCCAAAGGGTGGTTGAGAGAATAAACAGGGCGAACAATTTATCATTGCAAACTATCAGAATCCCAATCCAGATACATTCCAGGAGCTTAGTTAGTATATGGAGAAAGAAGAAAAGAATCTCCTCAACTCCTCCATCACAAACTTGCCAGGATAATACCCTCTTTGGCACAGTTTTCCACAGTCCTGGCCTTGGTTAGCTGCCTCGGCTTTGTCCAGGGGTCTGAGACCTTCTCTTGGTGGTGAAAGGGGACTCTCATAACTATCAGTCACTTATTTAAGTATTTGAAGGTGCGATGCATAGAGTGTTTCCCATGTGTGGGCCTGTCTTTCAGCCCCTATGGCCCAGGACCTCAGCTCAGCAGCACCAGATGAAACCACAGGAGGGCCCAGACTTTATTGAAAGCTCCCACAGCATCCAAGTCATTCCAAGTCTGGCCCAGACATTCCTGGAAGAGAACCTGGAAGGAATGTTTCAAAGTATTCTCAAGTCCAGAATTAGTCATATGGCCAGGTTAAATTTTCTTGGCTAAACTGAAACGTATCAGTCTGCTTCTGTGTTTCAGAAGGAAAAAGGAAATTGCCCAGAAGGCAGCAGAGGAGAATGAGAGATACCGGAAGGAGATGGAACAGTAAGTGTGCTCAGCTCAAGTTCACGTGCACGTGTGTCCACATGTAGATGTGAAGGTGGTCACCGCAACGTGGCCAGCTGAAAGCCACCTCTGGGGCCGGTTTCTGTGCCTCTTTTATTCCCTGGCCGCGCCAGCTTTATTTGTAGCCATTTCATCTTCCTAGTAAAGCCCACTTGACTATGTTGTTGTGCACCACTGAGTTGGAACCAACTCACAGCTGACCCTCTAGTGGGTTTTCTGAGACAGTAAACCACACAGAGGGATATTGCTCGTCTTCTTCCTGAGAAGCAGCTGCCAGATGCAAACCATGTGCCTTTGGGTTGGCAGCACAACTCCTTATCCACTAGGCTCCAGAGCTCCCTCAGATTGAGTTAGGATCACTGGAGCCCCTTGTTCTAGTCGCAGTGGAATCTGTTCTGACTCGTGGCAGCTTCATGTCTAATGATGAAATGGGCCATCTTCATGATTCCTGAACTAAAACCTAGAATTGACTAACTGCTACCAGTTAGTCAATTTAATTATAATATCAATTTAAATATAAGTTCCAGACACTTAGTTTTATTCACTGGTATATCCCTAGCAAGGAGTCCTGGTAAGGGAGTGCATAATGTATCTGACTGCTAACCGAAAAGTCAGCGGTTCGAATCCAGCAGCCTATCTTTGCTAGAAAAATGGCAGTCTCCTCTAATAAGGAAGTAGAGCCTTAGAAAACCTGACAAGTAAGTGTGTCAGAAGTGGTTCTCCTCAACCCTGTGGAGGTTCCCCAGAGGCAGAAGGTGGGCCCGTGCAAGTTCTGACTTTAGTCACAAATGAGGTTTCTTGTTTCAGGATTGTAGAGGATGAAGAGAAGTTTAGGAAGCAGTGGGAAGAAGATTGGGGCTCAAAGGAACCGCTCCTCCTGCCCAAAACCGTCACTCCAGAGGTGCACCCGATACCCCTTCGAAAGCCAAAGTGTACGTATCATGTGCCAAATGTTTGGGCTACTTGTTGGGATCTGGCGGGTTAATGAGGCCTCTAGAGAGATGCTGATCTCTCTCCATTCCTCATCACTTCTCAAGGTGGGGAGTCTGTGGCTCTCTGGGCCACACTTCCTTCATGGAGGTGAAGCCACGTGGCAAAGTTTGTCCAAGCACAACGGGCAAAGTAACATCCATCTGTCCCCCTTGTCGTGGAGTCTGCTGCAGGCATCCAGCTACTAGTCTCTCTCCCTCAATACAGATGTAGGCAGGCTGACTCCTTCCACTGCCCTTGGGCCCCTGAAGAACAAATGGAAACCAGATGCAAAGAAAGAAAATTATAGATTCATTTCTCTCATGAAAAAGATAACCAAAATTCCTCAACAAAACATTAGCAAATAGAATCCAACAATGTAGAAAAAGTATTCTATACCATGATCAAGTGGGATTTATTTCAATTATGCAAGACTGGTTCAACATTTGAAAATAAGTTCATGGAATTCCTCATATCCACAGGATAAAGAAGAAAATTCTTAAGATTGTATGAGTAGATACAGGGGGAAAATTTTTACAAAATCCAACACCTAGTCGTGATAAAAATTCTCAGCAGACTAGAAATAGAAAGGAATGTCTGCAGCTTGATAAAGAACATCTATAAAACCTACAGCTAACATTATACACAATGGTGACAGATTAGATACTTCCCC